CGGTTTTCAGAGCTGTTTCCGAAGGAAAAAGTGGGCTTCCGCTGCGTGTCTACGCTCAGAAGTCGGGAGGCTCCGTCGTCCTCCATGTTCTTGTCTATCACGTTCTGCACGGCGTTGATGCTTCCCAAGGTCTTGGTTGCTCCGCCGTCCAGGACACACCAGCCCTCCTTCACAGCCTCCTGTGTGGTCATGTAGGCTGTCTCTTCCGAAGCTGAGAGGGCCTGCTCACTGTAGCAGATGAACGGGGCGTGCTCCACATCCTGCTCATCCGCCATCTGCGCCTGGCTGCTGGAGGACTCCTTCTGGGGGCAGTTTGCCGCTCGGTGTCCCACCTTGTTGCACTTAAGGCAAACCATCCGGCTGTCATCCCGAGGAGCTCCCGGTCGCCATGAGCTCCCGCTGCCAGGCCTTGGAGGCCCACTGCTCGCCGAAGTTCCCGTCCGCGGTGGTCCATTTCGGAAGTACTGGCGAGAAAGTTTCACCTGTTGCTGGCGAGCGCGGGCTTCCTTCAGGGTCCTCCGGGCCTGCTGGATCACAGCAAGCGCTTGCTGTGCGTCTTCTTCTGCCTCGGTCATCAAGGCCTGTCCTTCCTCGTTGAGGTTGTCCAGCATGTAGCCCTCCTGGAGGATGTCTTCATCGTCATCGGCCCCGTCATCCTCGCCCATGTAGCTTGCCTGGCCTCGGCCGTGACCATCTCGTTGTCGTAGGCTATGCTCATCCCATTGAGATCTCAACTCCTGAGCCACCCTCTGTAATGAGTAGTCGCCTTGCACCGCTGTGTGTATCATGTTGCGTTCATTGGTGCTCAGGCCACTGTCAAACAGCAGGTACCATCCCTGCACGAAGTCCGGCAGGATGTCAATCAAGCTCTCGCGCTTCTCGGCACCAGAGTGGTAGTAGGTGTCGGTCCATCGGTTCCAACCGTAAGAGTTGGATTCCCAGCTGCCCCACGACCAGCCTGTATGCCAACCTCCCCAGCGCCACTGGTCATCTTCCTGCGTGCTGCTGCGGTCTTCTTCATCCGCTGGGTTGGTCGTCGAGCCATCCACTGGGTCACTGACTGGCGTGGCGGCTTGCCCTGCTCCTCCACTCAGGTTGGAGTCCACACTGACTCGCCTGCTCCAGCCTGGGCCTCCTGAGGAGACCGCTCCTCGACTGGAGCCCCGAGGTCCTTGGTGAGGTAGGACTCGCTGAAGTGCCTGTTGTGCGCGTAGGTACGTCTCACACTTCCTCGTGATGTAGTCCGGCATAGACTCTTGGCTCCGACGTCGGGTTTGCTTGAAGTAGCGCGTAAGAAAGTCGGCCAATTCCGACACCTGTGGGCGTCCAAGGGATGCCCGCAGTGTAGATAGTAGCACCGCTACCCCTCCATCATAGCTCACCCAATCTGGCCGTTTGCCCACAACCAGACGCTTCGCCGGGCCCTGTAGCTCACTAATGAGCCGAAGTGCGACCATGTACCGCTTGTAGTACTCCGTGCTCTGCTCGTACAGGAGGCACTGCTCCTCATACTCATTGAAGGTGGCACTGTCCCCCGTCCACTGGGGAACTCCGTCTTTGTTCTTCGTGACCGCTCCGGTCGCCGACATGTCTGTCTGCTCGCGGCCTGACTGGCGGCGGCAGCTCACTCTGTCTTCCCTGGATCGCCAAGCTCTGTCACAAAAGGTTATTCACCTCCTGTTGTAAGGAGGCTCCGCTACCGTGACAGTCGGCAGCAGCTGAGCGGTAGTCCACGATTCTCTAGCCAAGAGTGCGTAGGCAGGTCCAGTTATGGCTTCAGGTAGGGCGGCCCCAGCAGCCCTTCTAGAGAAACCCTCCGGACCTTTTTCCCTTCTCGAGCAATCGAGGCTGTGTAGTGTCCATGATTGCGTCACTGCACACAAGCTATTAGCTTGCATGTCCCGTGCCCTCTTCCAAACTTGTTTGTTCTTTTCTCTTCTCTCCATCTACCACAACTTCTAGAGGCTCCAGTCCGTCTTGTCGTCTCCGTCGGGCTGAGCGCATCTGCTCGTCCTCTACGATCCGCCAGCGGTGCTGCATCTGATAGTAGAGCTCGAGTTCACGTCCCCCTCCAGCTTTGGTGAGGCTGTTTGCTAGTTGTGCTTCTGAGTGCACCCACCGTATCAGTAGGTTGGTCGCTGATTGCGACTCCTTCAATCTCAGGAGCTCCAGGTCAGTGCGGCGTTCCGCACCTTTGATCACTATCACTTCTGTGTTGAGCTTGTCGTACACATTCCTGGAGTCTGTAACCAGGCATCCCACTGTTTCCTTGACCGCCTGGCGGCTGTCTCTCACGTCCTTGACGCCATTCTGCAGCTCGCTCCACTGGAAGCGGGCATAGTACAAGGCGTCTTCTCCGTTCACAGCCGCTAAGGCTTCTGCTGCTCCAGGTGATCGGCACACCCGATCCACTTTTGATGA